GCAAGGAGTTGGCCATGCCCACCCAGTCACATGACCACCTAGCCACACTCACCCAGCCGGTCATTAGGCAGATCATATTAGTGGTCCGCGGGATTTAAAATTATGAATTTAGTGGTCCCTGGGGTCCGAAAGGTTGGTGACCCATTTTAGATTCTTCTCTGCAAGTGGAAGCAAGAACAGCCAACAGAACTGAAGCTATGACTGGGATGACATAGTATATTCCTTGGAGGGGGGGGAAATCATATAGAAATCCTGAGGTTTTCTTCTGCTTAGTGGTAAACCCCCAGTTCTATTGGGGGGCAGTTTAAACAGCAACGTGTTTGCCTAAGAGAGACATTTGTGAGAATGAGAGATCGAGCTTGATTTAAAGGGATTGATATTTGCTGTAGAAAGTGGGGAATTTGGTTGGAAAATCCAAATTGACTTCTATTCGTTTATATCGAAAATCGGAATGACAATGCTGCAGCCTTATTCTTCCAAGCAGAGCTCTACCAACTTCCCTTCATTCTTTCTACATTTATATTTTGCCTTTTTCTCAGAGACCAGGGAGGTATCGTGGTTTCATACTGTACTTGTAAACCCTCAGACCTAACCATGACTACTACTACACTTTATCGGTAGAGCTGCATTTCCATTGGAGTTGCCACTTCCATAATTGGCGGGTGGGAAGTTGGGAGTGTTTCATCCTTGAAATGTTTTTAAAATATGGTAAGGTGTGTGCATACAGTGCATCTTTGAGTCAGTTTTAAAAAAAAAAAAAAAACAAAAAAAAAACTCCAGGGCAAAGTCTATGCAATTTTCTTGCCAAGTTCTTTGGAAATATATTGTCATTGTCTCTTTCCTAGGGTTAAGAGAGAGTGACTGGCCCAGGGTCACCCAGCTGATTTCATGTCCAGTCTCTCAATTGTCTGATGTTTTAACTGCTACACCAAACTGGCTCTCTTAAAATAGCAATTTTATTTACAGCCAAGTAATATCATCTAAATGTGGCATTAGATAAAAACAGGTTAACAAATATTATGTAATAAATACCACTTAAAACCCCAACTCATTGATTTGTTATTAAGAACCTTGTTTTCATAGCCATAGTTAAAAATCTACACATTTCAGGTTGACTTCTTGAGTTAATTCAATCACTACACATAACTTACTTTACTTTTTTTTTTATTTATTGGCTTAGTTAAATAGGTTTTCAGTACTTCTGCCCAAATCTAGCTTGTTTTAGTTGTGCTACAACCATATTTTGTTTGAACAAAAATGTTCAGCTGCAATATAGTTTCTTTGAAATCATACAAGTATAAATCTAACTACAGGTAGCCTTCGACTTACGATCATTTGTATAGCAACCGTTCAAAGTTGCAGTGGCACTGAAAAAAGTGACTTATAAGCCAGTCCTTCAACGTATGACCATTGCAGCATCCCCTAGTCACATGATCAAAATTTGGACATTTGGCAACCAGCATGTATGATTGCTGTCCCCAGGTCACATGATCTCCATTTGCGACCTTCCCACCTGACTTCTGACAAGTAAAGTCAGTGGGAGAAGCAGGATTCATTTTATAATAGCGCAATTCACTTAATAATTGCAATGATTCACTTTTTGCCATGTTTTGACCATGGCAAAAAAGGTTATAAAATAGGACACAACTTCAATAGGAAACTGAACAAAATTATGAAGTATCTATTTTTGGAAACGGAGAAGCTTATCTTACTTGTATGTTAGTAATCCTTTTAGCCAGAATAGAATAGCTCCACTGTGCTGAGAGCAACATATAGTAGCAGCAAATTCTTCAAAATATTAGCTAAATTGCTAAGATACAGTTGCTTTATAAGGCATCTGATCGGTTCTTTTTCAAATTAAGGTTCCAAACTGAAAGAGGAGCAGTAAGTGTCCTCACTTTCTAATAATTACATAAGCTTATTCATGATTAATTGAATTTGTTGAACCAATTTTTTGAAGCCACAAGTCACATTATACAAATATGTAACCAGTATGTTGTTGCCAAAAGTGATGGTGAAGTAAAAACACCCGGGGTCTGAAAAAAGCCAACATACATTTGAATATATTATTCAGAGATTCTTTGGAAGCAGTTCAAAAATTGCAACTGACTGAAAACAGAGCTTAATTCCAAAGGTTACTTTTATTACTTTTAAAACCATTTATATTTTGGGACTGGAATTCTTAGAAAACTCATATTTTCACATAATCCATACATCTAACATTTCAACAAAAATTTTCAGATGCCACCTCCTTTAACTGGTCAATACAAAGTGAAAATTCTACTTTTCTACCAAGAGGGTCTTGTAACCGTTTTGAGATTAAAGACCCCTTATTTGTTATTTGATCCCAAACACAGAAATCCCATAAATCAAATATTTTACAAATTATATTATTGGCATATTATTTATTTATTTATTTATTTATTTATTTATTTATTTATTTATTTATTTATTTATTTATTTATACTGCCCTTCTCCCTGAGGACTCAGGGCGGTGCACAGCCAGAATTAAAAACATGAAATACAAATATTAAAAACAATTAAAATCTATATAAATTTGGCCCAAAATTTAAAAAACCACAAACCAATTAAACATTTAAAAAATTTAAAAAATTTCTTCCTAAGCCAGCCCGGCTTGCTGGAAAAAGTGGGTTTTAAGGGCACGGCGGAAGGCACTGAGGTCTTGGATTCTCCTTATCTCTGGGGGCAGCTGATTCCACAGGGTAGGTGCCCCCACAGAGAAGGCTCTCCCCCTGGGGGTCACCAGCCTACATTGTTTGGCTGATGGCACCCTGAGGAGGCCCTCTCTGTGGGAGCGCACGGGTCGCTGGGAGGTCGTTGGTAGCAGCAGGCGGTCTCGAAGATAGCTAGGCCCTATGCCATGGAGCGCTTTAAAGGTGATAACCAACACCTTGAAGCGCACCCGGAAGACCACCGGGAGCCAGTGCAGCTCGCGCAGGAGCGGTGTTACATTATATGTTCACCTTCACAGCTAACACAATATAATCAATCCTAAAACTAATATAATATTTATCTAGGCTCTAACTACACTTGAAATCATAAATTAATTACAAGAATCCTGTTTATCTTAATATATTGTAATGAAACAAATTACAGAAACTTCACTATTAAATACCATACTCGTTTTAAATACCTTGATTAAGAATTTAATAACCACTGCAAGGATGTTAAATTGTATTGAGCAATTATGCTTGGGCAAATCAAAATATTTTCATTCTTGGTGAAATGTAAATTTTGAATAAACATGTTTCTTTTTGGAAAGCTTTGTTTTAGAAAGCAAGTATTTAAAATGTTTTATACCTGAATATATTATAAACACAAAATACTATGTTAAGCAATAAAACCAACTATATTATATATTAATTCAGATAATAAAGGGTGAGCCCATCACTTAATTTCAGATGCATTCCTAGACAATACCGCCAAAAATAGTGTGAATATAACATATAAAAAAATTTCTGAATAGTTTTTATCCCAGAGCTATAATTGCACTCAACAATGAACTAAAGGGCCACCATCAGTGAGCTGTTGGATAGCATTACTTGGTCTGGATTACTTGTGTGGATGTTTGGGTGGTTTAGGGGTGGGGAATTTGTGGTGGGTGGGTGTGTTTGGGGATTGTAATGTGTGTTGGACCTGGTCTTTGGGTGTTAAGTGTATACTGTGTATACACGTACAATGACAATAAAATTATTATTATTATTATTATTATTATTATTATTATTATTATTATTATTATTATTGATGAAAAATAACACTTTGGCACTTGAAATTCTGAGGCTTCTATTGTTTTTCATACTGCAGTCAACCGTATCCTTTTGGGAAGAATTTCAGTTTCAGATATTACCCGTGTGGGGGTATATGAAATCTGTGGAAATTACTAACATTCTTCCCAGGCAAAATACCTCTCTGAATCTTGAAGTCATACAGCAGCTCCAGTATGGCTTCTTTGAGGCTGTCCCAGGTCTTCTGGGTGTATATGCTGAAAAGACTCAGTCATTTAAAAAATACAGCCCATAATTACAGAACATTAGCCAATCCCCAAGCTAAACACTAGATTATTTTAACGAACTCATTTGACTAGATATATATTTATAAATTTTTCCCATTATCATTTGAAACAGTTTATGTCAAGGATAAGATCTTCTCGATGATGGAACCAAACATCATGTGCTCTTTTTGATGAAATACAAGTTGCCTCTCTCTGGTTTTAGAACATTAGCTTAAATGTTTCTATTCTGTGTTTAAACTATACACACACCAGTTTTTTATGCTATCTACAAAACATATTTTTCTCCTACATTGATAGTTCATAATGTGGGAGTGGGCAATCTTAAGAATCACACACCTCACATTTACTTTTAAAATATTTTTAGGAGGGGACTAAAGACCATTGGAAATATAGCTGATCGTATATTGTCACTATAGTGAGTAAAGGCCAACTAGTGAATACAATTTTTTGAAACTGGGTAAATTTTAAAGAATATGAGTGCCTTAAGTGTGAGACACCCACTTTGACTCTTTTATTTCTTCAAAGCCTATGAAAAATGGGTCTGATTTCATCAATCCTGCTTCTCCTAATCATTCTGTTCAGCTCTTTGGAAGCTGTTGCCATCTCTCACTCACTTTGACTCTCTTTCTACTCTCCCCTGGAAAACTAGGCATCCAAAGAAGTTTAAGGCCTACCAACTGCCATTCTGGTTTTCAGCACACTAGCATCTTATAACTAAGCAGTGAAAATCTTTTCAAATAAAAAGCAGAAGAGACTGTGAAAAATACGTACAAGGTATCTACTTGTGTCATGTTGAGGACCATTTGTATTTCAATTTCACTGAATAGACCCACAAAATTGGAAGTCAGTCTCATAAGAAGAAACAAATACTATAGTATAACAACTAAAAATATGGGTTGTGGGCGTTTTACATAAACCTATATGGAAAACAACAAATGGTTAGATACAATGAGGAGGCGATACAATATAAAAAGATGAAATTTATTATTTGCAATTATATGTTAACCAGATTGGCAAATAACCATATAATGTATCTCATCCTGAAGTAGACATGAAATCAAAATTGCTTGAATAATATTTCTAAGAAATGACATATCAGAACTAAATACTAAAGTATTTCAATTAATGAAGTGAAAGAAAAATAACTGGAAATCAAAAATAATTCAAAAGACAGAACACAATAACAAGAATGATGTTTGGATGGCTTCACACAACGACCAGTTTCTGCATATTAGAGCGACTAATAAATATCTTCCAGTAATGCACAATATTTGGAGATAAATGTTGTTGCAGAGAACTTCTTTTAACGATACAGTCTATAGCGATTATATCGCTTGTACAAGAATTTAATCCTCTTATTCAGATTATGGTAATCGTCAACAAACATTCGGTCACCCACCATCTTCTTTTGGCGAATGCATCTCTGCAGCTCATTTCCCCTCCATCCACGTACCCATACCGGCCCCACAATCAGGTTTTTGGGGTGGGCCTTGAAATCCCCTAAGAACAATACAATAGATTCATTTTAGAATTCTATCACTTCGATTTTCAAAAAGGAAGTTTATTCAGTAATTAGCCCTTTTTTTTAATCACAGACTACTAACAACTTCAATTGCAAAAGGCATTCCCTTCCTAAATAAAGTAGTCATCTTTATTTATTAAGCAAATAAAACTGTCTTTCCCTTCAATTTTTTTATCAAAAGAAATCACATGAACTTTTCTCAGATTAGGTACTTCCATGACAATTTCCTCCTTCCAAAATTGGGGAGGGGGGGAGGGAGAAAAAAAGAAGAATATCCATTAAACACCTACCAGAATCACTAGAAAAGTTTGCAGGGAGCCTAAGGGATGGTAGACTGATGTATCTCTCCTATACATGCTGTTGTTGGAAGATAGTTTACTGGTAGGGATAATGTACTGTAAACTAATATTTACCCAGAATTTCAATATTATGTACTGTAAACTAATATTTACCCAGAATTCCAATATTATCATAGACACCAAAGAGTGCTCGTTTCTCATTCCATCTGTCAACCACTTTTGGAGGAGGAGGCTCTTTCACCAGAAATGATTTAGGAGCTTCTGATTTAAACAAAAAAGAAAAAAATATATAGTCAATGTCACTTTAAAGATTGCCTTTCAAAATCTTATTATGATAAGTCAACAGTTGGAGCTTTTATGCAACATATTTACAGACCAACCTTTATATAAAATATAAAGTTAAATCCTTTCTTTTAAAGCCCTCTAATGGTACAATATTACTGGACAGTTTTAGAAAATAAATATACTGGTCCTTAAACAACTGATTACTGTACTTATAAAGAATATCTAGTCAACCATCATAAGTGTAGAACAGGTAGTCCTCAGCTACCAACCAGAATTGGGACAGAACTTCTGGCTCTAAGCGAGGCAGTTGTTAAGTGAGTCTCACCCAATTTCATGATCTTTTCATTCTGGTCATTAAGTGAATCACATTGTTCTAAGCAAATCTGGCTTTCCTCATTGGAACTTGGCTGGAAATCGCGGATAGCCTCCCACCGACCAATACGCTCCCACAGAGAGGGACTCCTCAGGTCAGCCAGGCAATGTCGGCTGGCGACCCCCAGGGGGAGGGCCTTCTCTGTGGCAGCACCTGCCCTCTGGAACGATTTGCTCCCGGAGATACGCCTTTCGCCGTGCCCTAAAAACTTTTCTTTTCCATTTATTTATTTTATTTATTTATTTTATTTATTTTGAATTTGTATACCGCCCTTCTCCCTGAGGACTCAGGGCGGTGAACAGCCAAGTAAAAACATCAAGTACAAATATTAAAATACAGTTAAAATATACATATATAAATTTGGCCCCATTAATTAAAAACAATAAACAAAACACTTAAAAACACTTAAAAAATTAGGCCAGCCCGGCTTGCTGGAAAAGGAAGGTTTTAAGGGCACGGCGGAAGGCACTGAGGTCTTGGATTCTCCTTATCTCTGGAGGCAATTGATTCCAGAGGGTAGGTGCCCCCACAGAGAAGGCCCTCCCCCTGGGGGTCACCAGCCTGCACTGTTTGGCTGATGGCACCCCGAGGAGGCCTTCTCTGTGGGAGCACACGGGTCGATGGGAGATCGTCGGTGGCAGCAGGCGGTCTCGAAGATAGCTAGGCCCTATGCCATGGAGCGCTTTAAAGGTGATAACCAACACCTTGAAGCGCACCCGGAAGACCACTGGGAGCCAGTGCAGCTCGCGCAGGAGCGGTGTTACATGGGAGCGCCAGGCTGCTCCCGTCACTACCCGCGCTGCTGCATTCTGGACCAGTTGGAGCCTCCGGGTGCTCCTCAAGGGGAGCCCCATGTAGAGAGTGTTGCAGTAGTCAAGGCGAGAGGTGACGAGGGCATGAGTGACTGTGCACAGGGAATCCCGATCAAGAAAGGGCTGCAACTGGCGGATCTGACAAAAGGTCCCCCTGGTTACAGCCGTCAGATGTTCCTCCAAGGACAGCTGCCTATCCAGGAGGACTCCCAGATTGCGAGCCCTCTCTGTGGGGGCCAACGACTCGCCCCCAATAGTCAGTGATGGAGTCAACTGACTATATCGGGATGCCGGGAGCCACAGCCACTCAGTCTTGGAAGGGTTGAGCCTGAGCCTGTTCCTCCCCATCCAGATCCGCACAGCCTCCAGGCACTGGGACATCACTTCAAGGGCATCGTTGGGGTGCTTTCGCTGCTTTCCATCAAGCAGGCCTGGCGTGAACCCCCCCCCTTTTTTAGCTCTTTTTAGCTTTTTAAGTGTAAATTGGGTTTTAATTGGATTGTTTTAAATTGTGGGCCAAAGCTGTATAATTCTTTTAATTGATTTTAAATTTTGTATTGGTATGTTTTTTATCCTTGGCTGTGCACCGCCCTGAGTCCAATAGGAGAAGGGCGGTATATAAATTGAAATAATAATAATAATAATAATAATAATAATAATAATAATAATTATTATTTTAGTATTCATGCCAACGGTTGTGCATGTGTGTTTCTTTTTCATGGAATTCAATATTTAGAACAGACTCTGCATTACCCATATGTAAGAAATCCAATCCAACCCCCAACCCCTGCAAAAAGAGCTCCCCTTCTACCTCACCCCTTTCTCGCTGCCTCTGAAAAAGAAGGGGAAGGCACTATAATTAATTAATGCTAAGGAGAGGGAGAGGGAGAGGAGAGGAGAGAAGAGAAGAGAAGAGAATTCTTTATTGGCCAGGTGTGATTGGACTAACAAGGAATTTGTCTTGGTCCATAAGCTCTCAGTGTGCATAAAAGAAAAGATACATTCGTCAAGAATCATAAGGTGTAACACTTAATGACAGTCATAGGAATCAAATCAATTGATTCAAATTTGAACCAAATCAAAGGAACCGGGAGCCGATCAGCAGCTGAAACGCCAAGGCAGGATTGAGGTCGATTCCTCCCCCCTACGACAGCCCCGGCTCCTTCCACCCGCCCACCCACCTGTACTGAACAGCCGACGAGCTGTAGAGACGAGAAGGCTGCTGCTGCCCGTCCATAAGCGCGGCGGGGCCATCATCAGCCGCCACGCCGCTTCCATTGAGCTTCCCTCCGACTCTTTGGCTAGAGAAGGCAGCGCAAAGCCTCCTCGCAAGGCAGCCACCTGGGACGCTTCCCAGAACACCCCGCGCCTCGCAGCTTTCGATCCCGCAGCCGAGAGGAAGAGAAAAAGTCGCAACCATAGAGATAAAAACAATGAAAGGTAGACGTGTTGATCTCAAGGCAAGAGTGTCATGTCTTCCATTTTTGTACACTGTTTTATTAAATATCATTTTAGCTGATTCTTTTTAGCTATTCTGTATAATTCTTATTATTATTATTCATCCCCTCTTTTCCTTCTCCCCCAACAGCAGTTATTTTCTCAGGATTCTGCTCCACCGACGGGCTGAATCACTAAATCAGTGATTTTTAAACTTGGGAACTTTAAAGACTCTGCTCTTCATGGCTGGCTAGGGAATTCTGGGAGTTGAAATGTACGCGTCTTGAAGTTCCCAAATTTCAAAAATACTGAACTAAATCTTCCATGTGAAACAAGGTTCTTCACTGTTCTAATTAAAGAGATTACCCGGTTCAAGCTGAAATAATTTATTATTTCATCCAGATGCCTGCCTGCAGAGATCAATGGAGAAAAATAAGAAGATAAGTGTAATTATGCTTGTTCACTTAGAAGGAAGAGTTTATCTACCATGGAAGTTACCATGGTATAAAGTTTACTTTTAAAATATATATAGATGTTTCACTCATTCAAATGCAACTGATCATTCCATGCACTGAGAATACAAATACTTACAATTTGGAAATTACATTTCTGTCTGGATGGGAGGTTGGATTAGATGATTTATAAAGTGCCTTCCAACTCTGTTAATCTGTAAATTGCAGAGATCTACTGTACTAGTTGAAGCAATTGACAAGCTTAACGTGAACTACTCTGACTTCCAGCGTCATCATTTCCCCTAAGAAATAAATAACATTGTTTCTATTGAGAGCATTTAAAAGTATTTCAGAAGCTGTTTTGTCAGGTTACAAAGCAAATGAAACACCTTAAGCACTTTATTTCAGACAGTATCTTGATATTGTTTTTTAAGATGGGAGCGTTCACTTTGTACCCAAAGAAATAAAAATAGAACCATACAGTCAGTGCGCTGTAAGAAACTAGGTCTTTGGTACCAATGTAACTCTACCCTTTTTCATAACTCTTCGCCTTCCGAAGCGCGCCTGTCCTGCGAAAGAACGATCGGGCCTTTAAAGCGATTGGCTGCCGAGCTATCAAAGAACAATCTGATTGGGCGAGCGGATATTATTCGAATTTCTGGCGCGTCATTTTTTCTTCCCCTATTGGTCTGCAAGTGGCGCGAGAGTTGTAGGCCAAGTTTGATTATTATTTTTTTCCTCTCTCGGTTCTGCCGCCGAGCCAGGTCCAGAGGTTGGAGCCGCCGGTCCTGCGTTCCAAAATCTACGATGTTCTGAACTCTACCCGGCGCCGAGCTTCGGAGTGCGGATGTTGGAGGCTCGATCTGCCTCCCGTTAGGCTGCGGATCGGGAAGGATCATGGCTGACCCGACTTCGCTTTCGCCTCCCTCGTGGGAGTTCCACTTGCCTCTGTCTCCGACCGACTTGCTTCGCAGCGCGGGGTCTCTGCAGTACGTGGTGCAGGAGGTGCTGCCTCTCAGACAGCTCCCGGGACACCTGGCAGGTTGGTGGGAGAAGCGGGAAGGGGAAATGGAGAATCCCCTGGAGATTCCTCGTGTTGGTGTGCAAGTCAAAATACCGGGAAATGGGAAGGAGGAAGAAGGCGGGTAATTAATGTGAGTCGTGCCTTTCCATCAAAGCAGCGCCCGAAGCAGCTCTGATTCTAAGCGGTGCTATCGGGTATCCCGAAGTTAACAGAATCGGGTAGGGCGTATAATGAGTTCAGAGTAAAATCAATGATCTGTCTTCATCCAATTCCGTTATTTAGATGGGGTAGCATTTAATGGTTATATAACAAATAGCACACTTTTAGGATGTAATTTTTGTTTATTTTGAAATTATGTAACAGCCTTTTATTACTCTGGTTATGTAGTGCATCTATTCTGCTTCAGGATATACAGGATCTAAGCATAGACAAAACAGATCCACCTTAGCTTCAGCAAGGTATACTTTCCAGAAAATTGAAAAGACCAAAATCTAGTCAGGTTCCTTAAAGATGTGAGCTAAGGTTTATTAAGTAAGGCATAGTAGCAAAGTCCACATTGCGAAAAGCATGCAAATCATATGATGAAGCAGTTGTTATGGTTTATTTTTCTTTTAATGTAACTTCATACACTGCAGCAGTGTATAAACAGATTAAGGAGCAGTTCTAGTAAATTTTCCTAAGTGAGAATTAGGCATACAAGATCTCGATTAATAAAGTCATGGTTCACTAACTGAAGTTTGATGTTTGAACTCAAGAATTCTGAGTACCAAAAAATTAATGCACACACAATCCATTCCAATTTCCTCCATGCTTTTTTACTTTGGCAGTTTTATTTAAAGAATTACCCTGTTCGTTGTTGTATCAATTACAATTATGATGTCCTTGCTTAAATCTGCAAATAGTTTCAAAGCTACCTTCTGCCAGTTGATCTGTAGTTGGCATTTCTCACACATGGACTTTCCTTTTTCAGTATTTCAGACAGCATTCCGCACACAAGGAGCACTTGCTATCCTGCAGCATTTTGATACTCTCTTCAGTATTCTACAGTGAGTCTGCATGTAACTACTGGTATTATTGGAGGGAGCTTTAGTTTGAGGATTGAGAAACCTTGTTCATAATTGTGGTAACAGCACTGAAAGAAGTAAACATGTAAAGAACAGAAAATGACAGGAGAATTCTGTGTGTCCTAATTAGTCATTTTGCTAAAGAAGCCATTTAATGTCATGTACTCACATTGTTAAATGGCAGAGAGGGGGTTGAGACTGAAAATAATTATGTATGATGTAAACAATTTGTAGCTGAACTTTGGACATTATAGACGTGTTATGGGAAATTTCTGAAATGTTCCCAGAAGTTCTCTTTCCAAAATTAATACAAACTGAATGTACAATGGTAACTTTAGATGAATAGGAATACATGGGATGCTTTGAAAGAAATGTTTGTGTTTTAACTTAATATTCATGCTTTACAGCTACTTCAGGACTGTAGATACTGCTGTTAAGGAAGATGCCCTAGAACTGATGATGAAAGGTGAATACGTTCTCTTAATACTATAGAAAATACAAATTATTTACTGCAGCTAAATGATGATAACAAGGCAAATGTGACCTCATTGGCAGGTTGCTCCCTCAGCCTGTTCCTTGCATAATGGTCTGTAATCTTGGTGGTCAATGCAGAGTAATGTGTGTTCACTGTAAGGGCAGACCAACAGGACATCCCATTCCTTCTGTCTTCCATCTTTTTGGAATGAGAGATCCATCATTGGCATAGTATTGCAAGAGGTGGTCAGGGGGTGGATACAGGATAAACATAGTGTGCCTGGGTAATGGGTTGCTGGGTGCTCCAGAGTTATGCTGATAGGATACCATGAGCACAAGTCTTTGGTAATCTGAAAGCTGTCCTGAATTCACATTTAGAACAAATATCTGTTGAAAGCATGTCTGAAGATGGTACCTTCCCACTTCTCCTTTTAGTTGTGACTAGTCAATCCAATGCCCTGACAGCCATCCTGAATGATTCAGACCTCACATCCTCCCTTCGGGTTCTCCATCTTAATGCTCTAAAGATGAATTGTTATATACTAGTACGGCTAGTGGAGGCATTTGAAACAGAATCTGGCAAGACCAATCTAGTGGGATTGGATTCCAAAGGGAAGGTAGGTGGCTTGTATCTGTTTGCTAGATGTTTACTTCTAGGCAGCTTTTTCCTCATTAACCTGTTGCCCTGAAAGCTGATTAATTTTAGTTTTACTGTTCTCTTGAGTGACTCCAGCAATGCCAGTTAGAGGATATGTTATGTACCATATTGAAATTTATGTGATCTTTTAAAATATCAAAATTATAATCAGAAGCTTCTATTTTTTTTCTTTCTGCACTTTCTTTCTTTGCTCCTTCTACTCTTTATTAGTTTGTGTTAGTTTTTATGTTCTTAATAAATTTTCTAATAAATGTTTTTAAAACCTATATTAAATTGTGGGAGTGGAGGTGTCAAATATTCCATTCTTATTTTTGCTATCCCAAACATTTGGCAGCTCAAGTCTCAGCCTTTGAATAGGCTGTGCCTAACAGGAAGAATCTACAGGCAATCAGTTGAGAATATGTAAATATTTAACATAAGCAAATCTGGATACATCCAGAGCTGAAATCAACAGAGGCAACTAATGTAATTTATGAACATGATCTTCACATACATAAGCTTTCAATGTATGTCTTTACTTGAACTGATGTCCTGGATTTGTTTTACAGAACAAGAAAAGCCAGGCTAAAGGCTTTGCTTGGGAGGAAGAAAGGCAGTCAATTATACAACTGCTCACACAATTACTTCAGTTGGATCTTCATCAGCTGTGGAGTGGCTTGGTAGTGGAAGAAGAGTTTGTAAGGTATAGAAATGGAAACAATTGAATGGAAAGCTGTTTTTAGACAAAGCTTCATTGGGCTGGAGGAAAGTGAAGGGTCAATCAGATGGGAAGAGAAGAAAATGATATGATTCATGTGAGCCAGGAAGAAAACTTTGTTTGCTTTTTAAGTGCTAAGTATATCTTCATAGGATTGTAAAAGATAAAGGAGTCCCTGCGGGTTTTTCTCTGCTAGTCATAACCAATTTTAGGAGGCAGTGCTTATTTCCGTTTCTAGGCCATTGAGCCAGCACTGTCCAAAGATGTACCTGTTTACCTACTTGCATGTACTTGCTTTCAAACTGCTAGGTTGGCAGGAGCTGAGGCAAGTGACAGGAGCTCACTCCATCATGTGATAATAGGACTCAAACCACTGGAGCACAGACCTTCTCTGGTGTCTTTTAAGCCACTGCACCTCTCTGATAAGATTGTAGTACATAAAATATTGCATTGCAATATCCTCTTGCTCTAACTCCTGTTTTGACTTTCTTTTCAGTTTGGTAACTGGCT